CCTCTCCCGCCAAGGTCCTCTTCGCGCTGTCGCTGATGCCGACCTTCGCCCTCAGCTTTGCCGGGTCGCCCCCCCCCCCACCCCACCCCCAGGGGCAACGATGGGAGGATGGGTTCAGGGGGATGGACATCTTGTGACGTTTTCTTTCGTTTCGTGGGGTTATGTTTTTTCCCTGCCGCGTCGCACCCGCGTTTCTTTTCCTCCTCCTCCTCCTCTTCCTCCTCCTGGTCCTCCTTCTCCTCCACCCACCGCCTCCTCTCTCCTCGCGGCCGCGCGCGCATGGCACGCATGCGCGCAAGATTCGCAAGGGGTTGCAGGCGTGGCAATTTCTTGACGCCATAAAGGGGGTGCGCAGGGGTGGTCCCTCACCGTGGTCCCTATCCGTCTCAGGGTCGCGTGGCGTGGAAGGCGTGGCATTTTCTCGACACCGCAGGGGGTGCGCAAGGGGTGGTCCTTCACCGTGGTCTCTATCCGTCCCAGGGTCGCAAGGCGTGGCAGGTGTGGCAGTTTGTTGACACCATAGAGGGTGCGCAGGGGTTGGTCACTCACCGTGTTCGTCTCAGGGTCGCGTGGCGTGGCAGGCGTGGCATTTTCTCGACACCACAGAGGGTGCGCAGGGGCTGGTCCCTCACCGTGGTCTCTATCCGTCTCAGGGTCGCAAGGCGTGACTGGCGTGGCTCAGGGGGTGCGCAGAGGGTGGTCCATCACCGTGGTCTCTCTCCGTTTCAGGGTCGCAAGGCGTTGCAGGCGTGGCACTTTCTCGACACCATAGGGGGTGCGCAAGGGGTGGTCCTTCACCGTGGTCTCTATCCGTCCCAGGGTCGCAAGGCGTGGCAGGTGTGGCAGTTTCTCGACACCGTAGGGGGTGCGCAGAGGGTGGTCCCTCACCGTGGTCTCCATCCGTCTCAGGGTCGCAAGGCGTGGCAGGCGTGGTATTTTTCAACACCGTAGAGGGTGGGTGCGCAGGGGGTGGTCCCTCACCGTGGTCTCTACCCGTCTCAGTGTCGCAAGGCGTGGCTGACGTGGCACGTTCTCGGCACCATATGGGGTGCGCAGAGGGTGGTCCCTCACCGTGGTCTCTCTCCGTCTCAGGGTCGCAAGGCGTGGCAGGCGTGGCATAGATCCATGCCGCAGGGGGTGCGCAGAGGGAGGTCCCTCACGCTGAATTGCGAACACCTCGGCTCAAGCAGTTTGAGAAAGCTGTGTGTTGCAGGCTGGCGCGTCGGCCGTACTTTGCTTCAGCCATGGCGCCCAAATGCGCCATTGTGGCTATGCCGCCACCGTCTTCCCCAGGGGCTCCAGGACCCAGCTTCAGAGACGCCGATCGCGCCCTCCGGTGCCGCATGTGCACGAGCATTTTGAGCGCACTAGCGACGAGCATCCTCTGCGGAACAGGACACATGGAGTGAATACCGTCACTAAGAGTACAACATAAAAACGGATGGCGGAGAAGAGAGAGGCGTCATCCGATCACGATTGGCCTGTGAATCCCGACCCGGAAACCTCAGTCCAGGCCCTGGACAGCAGGCGCACGTGGGAGACACTAGTGCAAGTATGTGGCCAACAGATCTGGGCATCATTAAGTTAGGAATCCAGAGCGCAGACTTGAACCTGCGTGGGTGCAAAGAAACCGCTACACCCGCGTTCGATCAGTCCATGATAGTACGCGCTCTCGCTGGCAGATTCTGCGACGAGAATGCATTGGGGCGCGGCGCCTGCCTCTTCGCTGGGGTTCGCGGAGGCCTTCTGGCGAACGCGCCCGCCACTCCTCCCCGCCACTTCGCGCGCGTGCGAACCCGAGAGTTTCTGTCGACAGTCGTCGCTTCGCGCGTAGATCCCGGAACCGCATTGTTTGGGCGGCCGCATGAGCAGCGTTCCCCCCGGAGACTTTCTGTTGAAGCGGCGGCGTGCGAACCGCTTTCTGTGCGACGCTCGAAAAGCTCAGTTCCCATTTGGCGTTGTAGTCGTCTCTGTGGGCACGGCACGTCAGGCCCCCAAGGTTTGAGCCGCGCCGCCTCGATGTCGGTCAAGCAACGGCTACGATCAGCATGTTCGCAAGTTCCACGTCAGCTACCATCACGCAAGACGCATGATTTGTATGTGGGTTTCCTCGGTAACGTAATTTTTGCTCGTCTTCGTCGGCTTTCAGAAGTTGTCCAGCCTCGGGATGCTTCCAGCGGCGTCGCCGCGCCGAGGGCGTTCCGGGGGTGCCCGGATCGTCCCGAACGGTCGCCAGAGGCTTGAGTTACGGTCCGAAAACCACGAGGGGCAACCTTAAGGGGGGACGGGGTCACGGGGTAATCGCCTACTGATCGCCGATAGGTGCCTGATAGCCCACGCCGCCCAGGCTCGTCCGGTTTCGCTATCGATGGTCTGACGCCGATCTATCGGGGATGTGTCGCCGATTCCATTTCGTTGTTCCCGCCGCCTCCCACTTTTCGGCGCAGCCGCGACGGCGGCCGCTGGCGACGGGACCGCGCCCGATACAGGACCGCCATGCGCCCAGACTCCCGTCGCAACATCGTCACCTCGTGGAGGCGGCGCGCGTTCATTGAACGTATTTGCCCCTAGTCTGACCTCGCAGGTGGCTTGACCCCGCCAGGCGGGCCGCTGGGAATGGGGGAGCAAAATGAGGAGGTGGAGGAGGAGGAGGAGGAGGAGGAGGAGGAGGAGGAGGAGGAGGAGGCAGAGGAGGACGGGGAGGAGGAGGGGGAGGAGGAGGAGGAGGAGGAGGAGGAGGAGGAGGAGGCGGAGGAGGAACAGGAGGACCTGCCTGCCACATCGCAGTACCCTTCATCGCCACCTTCCAAGTTCCACACATCCACGAACCACTCCCCCCCGACCGTTCTCCCCGCCTGGAGGCCGTCGGCCCCCGACTTCCTGCCCCGTCGTCGCGCGCTCGCTCTTTCGACACTGCCGCCGCCGCCATCATCGTCGTCGCCGCCGTCGTCGTCGTCGCCGTCGTCGTCGTCGTCGTCGTCGTCGTCGGGGACCGGGCCTCCTCCTGTCCTGTCCGCCATCCTTCCCCAAACATCGGGCGGCTCGATGCTTTTAGGCATGGTTCCCAGACCTCTCGACCTTTGTCCTGGGGCCAGTCTTTCATCCGCAGTCGTTTTATGGATGTCGGCAACACCCAGGCAACTCTATTATGTGCGCGTCGGACCCACAGGGCAAACGAGCGCAATGAAACATGGCATGCTGAAAGCTCCACCGCTTGCGTAACAGTACTACATATCTGGTCACACGTGCGCCTTGAAGGGTTGCACATCTTACTGGCATGTCCGTTTGCGTCCCCTGATGGCCCGAGGCTTTGGGCTCGAGATCTGGGGCTTTAGATCGGGGCTCCCAGGGCGCGCGATTTTCTGGAATAACCTCCTCCTAGGCGCCTCTTGCGCTTCCCGTTGTCTAGTTTCTGTTACCTCGGGCCTTGTGTGACGTTCGACAGCGGCGCACCGCGATCACGACGAGATCGAAGAGCTGGAGGTCTTTGGGGGTCTGGGAGGTCCTTTTCCTCCTCCTCCTCCTCCTCCTCCTCCATCCCTGTTCTTCTAAATAACTCCTCCCTGTCGCGCCCCGAGCTGGGTCGGTAGTCCAGGCCAGACGTTTTGCCTGAGATTTCATCACCATTTCTGATCCCTTCAGCTTGAATTTTGCGGCAGTTTCACGGATGCAGGGCGGGTGATCTTCAAAATGTGGTTCTCGCTTTAGCGCCGCGCACATTCGTTTTAAACTATATAGGAGTTTCGCGGATGAAAGGCTGGTGATTTTTACATGTGGCTCTCGCCGTAGTGTGGCGCACATTCGCTTCCAAAGTTTGCAAGTGAGGGGCGGGTGGTTTTCAAATTGTGGTTCTCGTCTTAGCGCCGCGCACATTCGTGTTCAAGTCTGTGAGAGTTTCACGGATGGAGGGGGGATGGTTTTCATTATCCCGGCAAAGCAACCTAACAGCGATGTGTAGAAGCATATCTGGAAGCATTCCCCTTAAGATTCAGATGATAATCCAGTTGTAGAAGTTTGCTGTTCTCTCAGTCGCAGTCGCATTCGCGATGACAGTCGCAGTGGCAACGGCAGTCGCAGTCACAGCCTCAGCCTCAGCCTGCCTCAGCATCAGCCTGCCTCAGCCTCAGCCTCAGCCTGCCTCAGCCTCAGCCTCTGCCTGCTTCAGCTGTTAGGCGGCACGATGGGGAAGTTTCCATTGTTTAAGGTTCGTCCCCTCCAAACCTCGCCCCGCCCCCCCCTCCAAAGTGGTATTGTTCCTTACATGTTTGCTTTTGCGCTCCTCTTGTTTTGGCATAATGCACGTCGCGTCGCACATAACAAAGTCGCACTTCTGCTTGGCAAAATCAACAGTATCGAGGACACCGCGTAAGAAATGATGAGCATGGACAACACGTAGGACAAAACGTAGGACAACACAATATTGATAATAACACGAATGATATGGACAACACGTAAGTATCTAGAACAACACGTAGGACAGCACGTAATCGATAACAACCCTTTTGGAGCAAAGCCAGAGCTCGACGGGGGCGGGTTCCATGGGGCAAAGCCAGAGTTCGACGGGGGCTGACCCGCACCTCGTTGTCGAATCTCTCAATAACCATTCGTGCTCAAGCTATGTTTGGGATCGACCACATCGTCGTGGCTGGAAGCGCCCCAGAGCCCTTTCCCGCGCAGCAGACCAGGGCGCGGGGCCCGCGAGAAGCCAAAACTAGCGGACATTTCTTGGCATGGTTTTTTTTCTCGCGTCCTTGGCGATGACGAGGCTGGCGCCGACCCCGCGGAGAACGAGGGCATCCGGGCGCGCGGCATGGCGTCCATGAGGTGGGAGCTTGCGGACTTCACCGAAGAGGGCGCGAGTGTGGCTCGGGCACTGGGTAGTTTCCCCAGAGGTGCGTGCACGGAGAGGTGTGTTGGGTTTCTGTGCTATTATGTCGTGCAGTTTGAACGTCTGCAGGGCGCCCGTCATGATGAATGCAACCCAGCAGATGCAGCAGAAGTGATGGCAATGACGGAACGCTTGGGCGACATCCTTCTTCAACCATGTGGTCGCACTGTGGCAGA